AAATTCATTTGTAAAGGACTTGAAGGTACAGTATAAAGGCAGAAAACACAGAAGCTGATCAATGTTACAGACAAACAAAAAAAGGTAGGCGATGAACCTCTACAGTTTGATTAAACCGGTTTCACACACCTGATTTCAGGTCATTCAGCAAAGCAACAAAAACCCTGGAAAGTTACAGGAGAAAGGAGAGAAATTACAACACTGCAGTCTCGGAGAAATGGAGAAGGGTTTCAGTGGAGACTCAGATACTCAGAACAGCTCAAGTCAACCGGACACCAGATTAAAGCACATCAGCAGAGTCAGAACACCGGTGTGGAGAATCACTGAACCCTGAACACAGCAAGAGCTCTCAATGCACAAACACACAGCAGAAACCTTCAGTGTGCAGACACCAGAACACTTCATTAGTCAGCAAATACACATCAGACACACACACACACACACACACACACAACTGCCAGAGGACAAACTGAGCTCAGTCACTGATAGTAGTAGAGTGATGATTTATGGAAGAGTGTGTGTGTGTGTGTGTGTGTGTGTGTGTACTTTACAACAGCACAGATTGAGGAGAAGGTCAGTCAAACAAGTCAGTAGTCAGACAGAGGATAGTCAATGGTTCACACACTCTACATCTGGAAAATACCCTTCTGGACAGACTGTAGGAGCAGTTTAATGGACAGGAGCTCACTACAGTCTCAAGACTTTACCTGAGAAAAGAGAAGTTAAAGATTGCATTAAGGGAAAGAGGATAACACTGAATAAGATCAGCCTCTACAGGCCGCATGTCTGCAGTTAACACCAGTTTCTTTGAGATGGAGCAGAGTCAGGAGCAGCGAGTTGCACACAACAGAACAGTATTGAACATCAGTATTGCACAGTATTATAGTGGTCAAACAGGTGAACAGCAGAGTTAGAGCAGAACACTGGAGGAACCGGTTTAATCCCTGAACCCCACAGAAATAAAGTCTACAGGAGCTCTGAGTCAGTGGAGACCAGGAATATACTGACAGACCACAGCAGCAGATTAACTGATCAGCCTCAGCTGGAGAACACTGGAGCTCAGCGCACACACACACACAGCAACTACTCAGCACACACACAGCTGAAGCAAATTAAAGCTCGTTTACAGCAAATCACACCGCACTGAAGGCACAGAGCAGTGTCTGTACAGATACAAACTACAAGACAAACACAAGGAGAAAATGAAGCAAAGACAGCTTCTGCCTCACAGAGAAACACACCTGAGCAAGAGACACACACCTGAGCTCTGCACACTCACCTGAGATTAAAGAAAGACTGAGGGCAGCTCATGGGTCTTTATATCCTTGGGCTCAACCACTGCAGCACATGGACACAGACACAATCACCAACCACAGCTAAATCTGCAGTCTGACACACACAGACACACACACACACACACACTGATCACACACTCATGTTTACACAAACCCTTCATTTTCATACTTCTCCAAAACATTATTTCCTCATTGTAAAGCAGGTTAATATAACAGAAAACAGAACTCCCCCCTTCACCTGCAGCAATTGGTTTCTCCCATTTCCCATGATGCTCCACATCACAGGTATAAAGGCGGATCGCTGGAGCTGCTCTGGTTGGCAACACTGGATTCAGTTCTGCTATATGTCAATAAACGGAGTTAAAGAAAAGGGTTTGTGTGATCATTGTGGAGTCAGAGAAACATGTAATGTTTGATTGCAGGAAATATATAGAAGAGAGCAGGGAATTAATATAATATATAAATAATAAAGGACATAAAGATAGAAACTTAGATTATATATTAGGGATAAATGTTAATAGGGATAGTCTAGGGTATCAACACAATATCTATATCACACAGGATTGAGCCAATATAATAAATAAATTAAAATGTATTAAAAGGACCCGGAGGGACCAAATCTGGAAGCTGGAGGAGCTGAACACGCAGAGCCAGCCGACAGCCGAGTCCTGATGGAGTAACGTAGGTGATTACAGTAGATATAGATGTGAACTGTAGGTGGCGGCATGTGCATATCACACCAGTAAACAATAGAAGAAGAAGATGCTCTGCTTTCCATTATGATTCAAGCAGCGTCTGAATTCAGCATTACATTAAACCTGGAGGCCAAAACACTGAAGATTCATGAAGTTATCTGAGTAGAACTGGCCTCATACACAGCCTGCAGAAGACGGACGGGTTGTGTTGTTTGGGATGTGATGTGATGGACTCAGTATAGCTGGCGGTAATGCACCTTAGCATTTATCAGCCGACCATACAGGACTACTATGATGAAGCTGTGATGATGATGATGATGATGATGGAGAGAGCAGTGAGCTCAGCTCTTCTGTTAGAGCTCTGTTCAGCCTGACTCTGTGTGCTGATTAAAGCTCCGCATTCTGCCTTCATCACACATTAAACAGCAGCAGAGACATTCAGATGTACAGCGGAGACAATCAAGAGTAATCCTGTCTGGAAGATGAAGGTCAAGAACACACACACACACACACACAGGAGAGAGAGAGGGTCTGATCCAGAGTCAGTGAGGACAGCAGAGTTTTATTATTCAGCACATCATTTAATAATAATGGACATGAAATAGAAACTCAGCTCAGTGTTTGCATTTCTGGCTTTAATGTTTAATACACACTGATACACGCATGAACACACAGTACACCTGCAGACATGCGCTAGATTTGACTTTCCTGATAAGTTCTCATGCAGTCATCTTATTTTAATAAAGCACACACACACACACACACACACACACACACACACACACACATTACTTAGAGAATAATGCCCTAATGCCACTCAAACCTCATTAAGTGTGTGCTCATGAATATGCAGATTAGTCCCCGCCTCCATTATGGAGCTTTACATCTGCAGAAACATTGTGAATATGAAGCGATTCTTTGAGTTATTATCAATTGTACTTTAGTAAATCTGAATATTATGTTTTCCCTTTGAGTTTCTTAGTTTGAGCTTGACTTTCTGAACTTGAATATTGAAAATGTGAATTAAAGACAGCCGAATGCGAGTCAGAGTTTTACAGACATCCTCACACAGACTGCAGAGGAGCAGATTATACAAATACAGCTTTCAGTTTGAAGATGAAGACATTCAGAACATTCAGACTGAGGCAGGTCAGAGGTCATCAGCAGGGAAGAGTAGACCATCACCGCAGACTCAGTCACAGAGTCCTGTGTGTGTGTGTGTGTGTGTGTGTGTGTGTGTGTGTGTGTGTGTGTGTGTGTGTGTGTGGTTCTGGAGGACTCCATCTTCTGCAGGGGATTCGCTATTTCAGCAGATTGTGTAATGAATATTCATGCTTCAGTGACCCAAACTCCTGTTTAATTCAGTGACATGTCATTGGTCAATCAAACTTACTCCAGCTTTCTGTGTTTAGACGGGTGAAGAGCTGATTCTGACCCACACAGTCCCCTCTGATGGGTTATTTCAGCAGACACGCGGCTCTTACACCTTTACTAGTCACATTTAAGGTCTTTTCCAGCTCTTTCCTTTCAGACATGCACACACTTCTTCAGCAGATGATGCGGGACGCTGTGTGGTACAAGACTCTACAGTACAGCAGCATATGGCGGAGTGTTTTAGAAGGAAATGTGATCATATGTTTGCCCAAAGCTCTTCATCAACACTGAATCTCCTCGATGCACATCTGTAGTTACTTGAATGATCAGATTTTCCACAAATATCAAATGTTCTTTTTGTAAATACAGGCTAAAATACACTGACAGCAGATGTCCAGCAGGTGGCGCCACACCTCCAGACTCGCTCTTCTAGTTCTCGTCATCAGTGAAGCGCTTCAGCGGTAATGTCTGACTGATATGTGCTGTGCTGTGGGGGAGCCGTCGATGAGTTCAGGGTCATGTTTGTGTGCAGGCAGCTCTCTCCATATACATCCAGCTGTTTCATTACATTTGACTTAAATAAACGCCTGTTAGGAAAGAGAAATGATTATAAAAGTGAAATATTTACATGTTTAATCAGTGTCAAGCACTTTATCTAAAGTCTGAGCACTTTTCAAGCCTTTAGATTATAACATGTTACACCGGCAGATTCTGGAAGAAGACCTGTTAATATATCTATATTTTACATTTACAAGTTCACATCCTTCAACCAATAATAGGGTGAAATATTGTGCTGTCATGGGGGTCTACTGAAATAGTCTGATTAGACATTAGGCCACATGTAGACCACACAGCCATCTTCAGAGACCTGTAACTCACCTGCGCATGACCACCAGTGGAGCAGAGACGAGGCCTGGAACACAACTGTGACTATATTTACAGTATTCACCAGCAGATCACACACACGCACACACGCACACACACACGCACACACACACAAACACGCACGCACGCACGCACACACCATCAGCCCATCACAGTCTGCAGGAAGTGTTCATCGCTGGAGAGGTTTGTAGATGACATTACTCCCTGGCCTTGAGGAGGAAGTGCTCCCAGAATCAGAAATGTCTGCTGTATG